GAAAGTAAGGTTTATAAATATGATGTGCCTATAGCAAGCTTCAAAGAATCGCTGATACTGTTCAGTAATTCATGCTTAAGGAGCAAATTGTAGATTGCATAAATTCAACAAAGTCAGATATATAGGATAATAACATTCAATAAAAACATGTTTCGGAAATATCATCTATGATCATACAACTATGTAACATTGTATCATGTATCCACAATGCATGCCTTTTAACAAGTTCGACTAGTGCTTAGTTTTTAAATATTACCCTGTTATAATAAACAAATTCAGTTCATATTCATAATTGTAGAATATTTCTAAATTTATTGAAAATGCACAGTTCATGTGCAAAACATAAATGACAACCAATTTATTTAGACCGCAATGATTATCAAATTTTCTTTAATCAGTGTATAATTTATGTGTTAGTATGCATAACATTTCATCTGTATACACGTAGAGTAATTATATCTAATCCTGTATTGAATTAATCAAATGGATGATTTGAGATATGAGTTCAATTATGCAATATTATTCTATCGTTGTTTATTAAACTTGTAACTATTTGCATTTTTAAGTAAAGTAAATTTCACGTGCAAGTTGTATTGCTATTTTCTGTCGCTATAATGTGTCACGTACACAATCGATTGCTCATATTAGGCTTGTATAATCAAGTAAGGGCCATTTCAAGCATACAATTTAATAAAGATATTGTAAACCAAAATTATACAAAAAACAAATCTCACAATCGCTTAAATATGTAATATTTTTGCAAAACTATTGAAAATAAGTGAAAAAAGCATTTAATTAGGTAAGAAAATGCATGTTAAGGTAACGGGAATGTGTTTGTTAATCATGAGAAATCCCTCAGCAACGCAAGCCGTTTTAAGTCAGCGCAAAGTTAGGCATTTTGTTTTTGATAACATGTCCCCTCGTGTTTAAATTTATGCTTATTTATCATAGTTTCAACAACTTCCTCTTCAATCTCATTCGTTGTTACTCATATTTATTCAGTAACCAATGTCAAAAGGTCATTTATAAATAATCTGTATGAATACACTTCAATGCAGCATAAGATACACTTCATGCTGTTATCTGCTCAGCTGGTTCAAAATATTTTGTTGTCACCATATTTTTTTTTCTTGAGCTGTACGACGCACCGATACTGTTAGGGTCATATGGCGACGTTCCAGCTTTACCTGATGCAAGAAGACCTCTGGTGCCCATTCATGCATAATTGTAGGCACGAACGAGCACAATATGTGAATCAACGACATTCCGTTAGCTAGCTGGATAGCTTCCCCACATGAAATAATCCGATATCCCAGCCGAATTTAACACTTACATAGTCTCTATCATGTATTGATATGAACAAGCACATACCTGTTTAAATATCGTAATACGAATACAACAATATATTAATTTTGTTTTGACATGCACTTTAATAATGATACCTGTCCGTATAAATGTACAAGGAATATTAAGTTTATTAAATAATATTTTAAGTTTTACTAATTCATATATCAGCGTAAGTAAAACATTTAGAAGCAGAAGTTGAACACAAAACTATTGAGTTTAGTCTGCTCCACAGTTTGGTCTGTCACTTTTGTTTCATAGAACGGATACTAAGCTGATAGACGATGACGGATCTATACATATTACAGCAGCGGACTTTTGCATTCAGTTGTATGGTATTTCAGTCATAACAAACTCGAACAGGTCCTATAAGGATGTAAAAATATATTGGTGTTGGTAAAAAAGCCTGTCCCATTTAGTAATTGTATAACATGTTTGTGTGTTTACTATTTTACACACATGAGGGCACCGAGAACCACTTACCTCCTGTACGCTAGCTACCAAGCTTTCTCTTATGTTACTTATTCAAAGAATCTGACGAACATCAGTCCCAAATGGACGGAGAATCAAGTAACTGAGGCCTGCGACCGTAACCATTCAGGCACAGAGAAGTCTCTTGAATGTTATTTATTTAGAGGGGTTTGTAAGAGGACCTTTCATAATGTATTTATGTCAGCCAATTAAAGTCTAAAAAAGATAAAACAAGGCGCCTGTTGATCGGTTTTTTAAATTTTGAATTTCTTGCTTTGAATTTATAGGAGGATTTTAAAATGTGGCGAAACATATATTTACAATAATAATTGTTAGTCTATAACTTACGTAAATTGTATATGCAAGTGCATGCATTGACAGTATCCAGCTCATATAAAATAAACTCTAATACAGTAAATTCCCATTTCTTTACTCAATGGGCTTTTTTGAACCAAGAATTGCTTTAAAAAAATAAATGGATTCAGCCAAGATTCGATGTGTTAATATTTTGTTTTAGTTCAACCTACGCTTTTCAAGTTGTAGTTGTTGCTTGTCAATATGTGATTTAACAACTACTCTCTTTGCCCCCTCTCTCCCCTGTCTTCATTTCAAATCAGTCCAAGTAATATGTGTATCAAAATGTGCTACATATAAATATGCTACATATAAACAGGTAATGGAAAGTACGTAGCCACTGAATAAGAACAATATCAAAGATAAAAGATAAATGACGTATGAAGAAAATGTGCATCAGATTCATTGAAATTATTTTGAAAAATATAGACACATTCTGATCGTCTTAGAACAGGCTCTGTTAAATCCAATCTGTGATACTTTCTAGTTTTACCTTTTCAGCATAATTATATTTAACATGTACATGCGTTTGCCTTTTCAATTAAAACATTTAGTTTATTGCATACTTCATGTTCAGTGTCTTACTGGCGGCAGTTACATATAACAAGGAAATAGGATAAATATTACGTCGACACATGTGCGTAATAGTAATACTACAAATAAGTTAAATAAAACAAATAAGTTCTAACAGACCCTTATTGTTATGAAAGTTCATTGCATTTCTTTCGATAGCTTTCTTATGAAATGAGTTTTTAGACATTATACAAAGTTTGATCTTGTCCATGAAATTGATTCCGGCTATGTACGAACTAAATTTGTTATTCGTATTAAAAAACGTAAATTGATACAAATTGACCGTTTTAAGTCGATCATCAGCTGCCTTATATGTAAGCAATGAAAGGTGGATAATGCAATAAACTTTAATGAAAGGATCAGTGTGAACACGGGACAATATGATTCGTTTGTAACATAGCAAAGTGAGCCCTTGTAAATGTTTTATAAATCACTTAGTCATTTTTGGTCGAGACCACTTAGTCATTTTTGGTCGAGACCTGAGGTAATTGACCTTTTGAAAGACTAAAATAGAATATCATATGTTTATAGTATCTTTCATAGTCTCTTTTATGATGAACAGCTGAAAGATTTGGCATGCAATATTCCATTGTACACCCTCGATATATAGTACAAGATAAACTTATCAGAAAGTTTTAAAAGATCAAACAGCACATAAAATACTTCAGATAACCTTTACCAAACATTATTTTGAAGTCCGCCCTTCTTCAAATGTTAGATTTACAGTTTGCAAAAAAAGAACTTTATACTTTAACCGGTATGATTTATATGACTGCTTTAAACCGCCTTTTTCAGTTTACCAAAATGGAACATATTAAACAGGTGTCTTTTTGTTTTTTTATTTTTTACAAATGCAAACATTGTTCATGAAGAATAGATAAAATCGAATAAGTCAATATAAAGACCTGTCAAGTCATTGTCCTTAAAAGATCATTATACTGAAACGAAGAATTAGCAATATATATAAAAAAAATTCTCTTGTTTTTGTTTTACGTCGAACCGACACAGTTGAGGTCATAATTATAACACCTTTACATCTTTTCTATTGTGGAGGAAGACCTCAGAAGCCCCTCCTTGCATTAAAACCTCCACAAGCGGGCACCTGAGTTAAATCAACGACGTTCCGTGAGGTTGCTGGATAGCTATCATAGGTTTTAAAAGGCATATAGGTATGATCAAATTTAATAGTCAAGCAGATAAGGGAGATACTTAAATACTGTTTTAATAAAATCTGTTTCATTGAATTTCCTATAACAATATTTCTAATATTATTAAACTTATCTAATAGTATAATGTATATAACGATTGTATAATTGTAACAATTTTTGAAAAGAAAATTAATATATTGTATACACTTTTGAATCAGTTATTTAATTCAATAAGCACATAAACCTGTTTTTTTGTATAAAATTCTTAGTATGGGAGCAATTTAATCCTGTTCCCATACGTACATAGAGACCTCCTGGGTATGATGCATATGGTACGCTCATAAACACAGTTACTGATATAACTTCAAGGCATATATCTTCAGATCCTTGAAAATGTAATAAATGAACTATATGCTCGCCCATGTAGTAATTATTCCGGTAGAGAGGGTACCTTAGTAAAGCTGATTAAACAACTGATCTTTTACAAACACATTATTCTGCCATGACTATATAAGTATATCTAATCATTAGTCAGCATTTTTTTATCAGTCTAAAAATAGCACTGCCCTTTTACACAATTGTGATGAAATGATCATTTCTCCAGGATTTCTTAAACATGTTCCTAGCTCGTGTTTATGTTTAACACCTTGTGTGTATATTTAAGCCGATCCTTGCGTTCAATTCAATAATTCGATAAACAAAACGCAATTTTTCGTTTTAAACAGAATATTGTTGAAATATTTTATTTGTTGTTAACATGTATAATTCAGTTGTAGCCTCTCATAAGTCCAAAATCTTCTTTGCCATGAGGGGGGGGGGGTGCTGCTCCCTTCAATACCGTAAGCAGAAGGGGGATATCTCCCCTCTGTATCTTTTCGGCGCCGAAAAAGTGATAACTTTTTATTATTATTCAAACAACAAAAGTGTTTGCGTTTAAATATGTTTTTGTCACCATTTGAGATCTCGAAGGGGGGCTGAGCAATATATGAATTGATTTACTTTTGAAAAGTAATGCACTCATGACACTTAGTTTCAGATTTGCAAAACTGTTGGACACATAATAAAGCAAACTGAGCTTTTGAAAGAACTTCAACAAACAACTATTGATATAATATTTATTCTGTATTACTTACAAGACAATAACATACGTCATACAAATTGAATCACACAAATGATGAAGTTACGGTTTCTAAATAATTATAAATAAACACGATATACGTAAATATTAGAAAAACAAACAGTGACTATTTAATGATGTTGTTACTTATGGCAACTGCTCACATGTCATAGTAATGGAAAGAATGGACAAAAAAGAAGAACATTTACTTAGAAAAGAAAGAAAGAGTCCAAGACATTCATTTATGTTTTAAAAAACAGTTTCAATAACAACATCATATATTACGTACTGCCTAAAGAAGTCCTTTTGATAATTCTTTTCGTGCAAACTAACTTCTTTACCCATCTTCTGTTTTACAAATAATGTGTTGTACCATGCAAAATTGATCAAATGATAGGCAAATTGAATTGTATGTATTCCTGCACTCAAGTATCCAGTCATATACTTTTCTCATGTCTGATTATTGGAACCGGCTAATTTTCATTATTATGATAAAACTGTGTACACCTACATGTATATGTTTTAAAACATTTATTAGTAAACTCATGATCGTATTATGAAAAAATGATACATCCTTTTATTAGCATAACATCCATAATGCCTTAATAATACCAAGATCAATTCAAATTAGTATTCCAATTTGCTCATAAATATATGTATTTCAATTAACGAAACATGTTTCTGTCAATAACGTAAGGCAACAATAACTTTTTGCGACTCTGTTTAACACCTCGAAATAATTTTGTATATCTGAATAAAACAGAACACATTTATACATATTTATTTTTTTTCCGAAAATTTGAATAAATATAATAATAAAAAATTTAAATGTAAACCGCATTTATTAAGACTGCGATTTACGATTTAATCATCATTAAGGAAAAAGGTGTACAGTCATGGTGATTTTAACAAAATATCAAAATACAAAAATAAGAAATAGAAAATAATCAATTAAATGAATATCTAAATAACAATCTGGAAACAAAGTGATCCCTCGGAATTATTAATCACAACAAAATTACAAGAGGATTGCAGACTCGGTTTGATTGAGTATGTACATGAGGGATAATTAATATATGCAACATCCCCCACGCCCCCTAGCACCGGTTTAGGAGGTACTCATTTCTCAACACTTAATAGTGCTGGCATCAATGATCCCGAAGGACCAGAAAAATATAACGACACATATAAGTTTAACAACAAATATAAGTTTAAACATCTTCATTCTGCAGGTTAAAATCACAAACTACATTTCATTTGTCGCAAGTCATTATTAATTATCGTTAGATATCTGTAATCTTAAAACACTGGGAGAATGGTTTCCTTAGTTTGGGCTTGCTTAAACCGCATCTACTGCATTATTTGGTAGATGATGATTGCCCCCATGTTGAGCTAGAAAAAAAACAACAAATCAGAATAATAAATTTTGTAAAATACACGTTCGATTTTTAAAATAAATTGGAAATCAATTATCACATGCATACATAGAATACGGTGTCTTAATAAGTTGGACTGATAAACTGGTAAAATAAGATAACATCTGCTCTACGTTCGTGTATCAAAATATTAATTAGTAAACAATTATGTCATTTATTGTTAATCGTATTCCAAGAATAAAAAAGATCAGTATTTATATTTTATTATGATATGAAATTCTTCCTAACGGACATTTTAATCCTACATTAAGTATACAGACACTAGTCTAGATACGGATTTAATAGAGCCATACAGTTCTCTGATAATTACCTCTTTTATATTCTGACATGAACTTTATTTATCATCACAAATAACTTAGATCTGGTCTTACAACTGGACAAAAAACATAAAATTGTAAAGGGTGCAAAGCTTTTTTTCGACGAAATATATATAGATATCACAATCTGTCCAAATATAGTGCTACAATTCTTACGGTCATTAAAAAGATATATCTAGCTTAAAAGAACTCTATTATAATAATTTCGGTTTAATCTAATAGCGATAAGACATCAGATGCTGGCTTTCACGACAAGAACATCTTTTTTAAATATAGATACAAACGATATAATAATTCTATTTATATCAGACAGTCATGATTTGACAATTTATAGCCACTTTTAAGAAATATTTGAACTTAAATGCGTCAAATACAACAAAGTATGATTTATTCAACAGGTATTTTATTAAGAAAGTGCTCGTATTTTGATATACATCACTAAATGTACTTTCATTATCTGATTTGCCAATAAGCGGTAATTGGCTAGATTTAGGATTTAGTATATTCACGATTGAAAGTTTCATAACAGCCTTGTTATTGGACTGACGACTGTCGTATTAGCTTGAGGCTTTTAAGTATTTAGACTGCCTGAAGCTAAATAATAAGGTTATATACGTATTACTAACTATTATGTGTAACAAGATTTTTTATTAACAATGCAAAATTAACAAAAACACAACGACATTTTTATTAGAACATAATGTTACAGTAACAACTACCTTGAAATATTATAACAAACATCAACATAAGAGGTATCCTGTTAAAAATGTTGCTATGTAAATGGTCAAAATTTGCTATGGAAGTGGAAACCAATGGAATTTATCGTTTACTATGGAATAATCAATGGCTGCTATAAAAAAACAGTGGTTGCTATGGACGTCAATGCGGTTATATAAAGCAAACTGCTGTTATGGAACTCATCGGTTGCTATGGAAAGTCAATGATTGCTATAGGAATTCAATGGCTACTTTTTTAGTCCCTTATTTCTATCAAAGTTAGCATGGGTTATTTCTACAAAACACTATTCATATCGGGCCATATAACATTTAAAAATTGTTATAACTTATTATGAATACGTTCATACATTTGTATATAATGGTAATGAGGCGTTGTCAATACAGTAACCTAGATGTCGTAAATATACTAACAGCATCAACACTATAAGAATATACAGAGCATAAATCATATTATTAAATAGATGAAACAAATCATGATTGCGAGAACAATATTGTTCATTTAAAATAATAACGTATTCACATTTAAAGCTTTAATTATAAAGTCATGGTCAAAATCCGAATGTTATTCAAAAGCGGTGTGGATATGTATTTCAATAGGTTCTTGTTGTGACTGAGCATTTATTTCAAAGGGTAGTTGTTTGGAATAAGACATTAAATTTACCTCATAGCAAAATCTGACACATTATTTTTACCAATAATATTATTAAACGTTACCAGTCATGATCATGCCGAATGGTATTTCAAAAATAAAGTTAGTCAAGATGGTTATTGATAATTGATGCGGAAATAATATCAGCTTGAAACAATTACGGCAATTTGTAAAGTTATTATGACATTTGTCTGTACATTTACCATTTATACTTCGAACAACACAGTAACTATCAATTATCAGGATAACTTACCAGGCTGTGTTCTAATTGTCCGTTGTAAAGGAAGACTCTTCATCCCATTTTTCTTATTGATGATTGTAAATATCTCAATATCATATTTTTGACGAGGCTTGCAGTTTTCTATCTTGTATGATGTCTCGGGGGTTTTCGCAACCATTTCCTAAAATTAAATACATAGCATATATTTCTTTCTCATCATTTATGTTGTTAACACTGAGCTACATGTAGAAATATCATTGTTACACTAGTATAATCAATTAAATTTTACTTTTTTCAGGATGCCACGGACCGGGAAAAAAGAAAGAAACAACATTTTCTGGCTCGTTTAGAAATCATCAACCCGATGTCCCATCCTACCTCATCATTTAATCATTCAATCATTACATTAGAAAATGTATATATAATCATTACATAAACAAACTGACTGCGTCAGTTAATTTTGTTTCTTTTTGAAAGCATCATTTTCACTCAATTATTAACACTGATGAGTGTAATTACAACCTTATATGGGACACAAGTCTGAGTGCAGATGAGATTTAATATATTTGACAAAGACATTAAGATATTGTAATTGCTGGATTGTAATTTCAACTGTGACCATATTGTAGCGAATATGTCCCAAATAATTATTTTTAAATATACTAACGCATTCAGTCAAAAAGTTCAATATGCTTTCAATGGGTATATCATTTAAATTGTTTAAAAATACCAATGACCGCGTAAGCAATTAGATGATAAACATGTCCTTCGTATTTTCAAAGAGCTGTATCTTTCTATATATACTTAACTAATCTTATTAGAATTATCTTTTGAACTTTCATGGATAATACTTCTACAACTTATATGACTTCGTCCGGTAAAATGTCATCAAAAAGAAAAGTATCATTTCTTTAACTTTTTAAATATACTAAATATAATTTCATGCATTTCTTAGATTAAAAATTATTAAGACAAAGTTCTCTTGATGTTGTCGCTTAAAATGCGTAAACCGATAAATCATGACAAGTAAAGTCAATGGTCGAACCCTTTAAATGTTAACATTAAAAAGTAAAAAACAGGTTCAGTTTAACGAAAAAAATGTTTAATGCTTCAGTGACTTACAATAATCGGAAAGGCAACGAATAACACTGTTCTATACTTTTGAATAAAATAAAATAGGAACCAGATTAGAAATAACATTTATAAAAATAAGGCCCGGTTCACATAGCACATATAAAATATTTATACTTTGCATCATTTTCCGATCAATTGATGTCGTCGTTGCCTATTGTAAGAGGGACCCAAAAATATGAATTGATGAATTTGAACATTTACCCTATTGCAAACTACTTCGTATTCTAATGGCTGGTCGCCAGTATACTCAGGTTTCTTCCATTTTAATTCAATCTCTGTTGACTTTGGCGTAGGTTCCGAGTCCCAAGTCGGTATATCTGGTTATAAAGAAATAGCTATACTATTTAATAATCAATGTTTTACTGAATCTTGAAATATAATTATCTGTCTTGGAAAATGATAACGCCTGTAAGACCAGTTACATGTATCAAGTGGTCGCTGGTTCGATCCCACGTCAAGACGAAATTTCACTGTGATATTTGATCTTAGGCACTGAGACTCAATTGTCATTAATTTTGTCTCACCTTTAATTTCACAAATCTCGTGGAAATAATAATCTGTCAGTCGCAGACAAAAAAGATAATAACTGGTTAAGTTTTCCATGAAAACAAATTAGGTGGACTAACTGCCTAGACAAACAGAACTGTATTTAAATGCAGAGAAAGCTATGACGTCATGCCCTTAAAAACTGCATCGATGATTGATTATCCAGCAAGGTCACATTTTCGTGAGATTTTCCGAAACTGTGAAAGCATCAAAAATGTTTTAGCAATTTAAACGCCACCAGTTAACTGAAAATTGTCAAGTTAATCAAAAGAAATGACGTAATAGACTTTGCAAAAAATGTGAATAAGCATTAAAGATTAAGAAAGTGTAAATTATTTACTTTCATGGATGAAAATGTAAACACATCTAGCTACGTAAAACGATATCAGGCAACTCCAAGGCCAAATGAATTATGTTAGCCTTTAAGTAATATTCATTAAGTCAAACAATTAACAAAACAAAACAACAGAAAGAAGCAATTCTCTCTAGGCGAGAATAAACTTAAAGGACAAACAAGGTTTGTAAGCGTGAACGAATGTTTGTCCTTTCTTGGAAAAAATGCAAGTAAAATATAATTTTAGATGACGTACATGGTGCAAGTTTAATTTTGTAAGGTGGTTCAAGCTGAATCGAATTGTAAATAACGTAAACATATACAGTATATGAACGATCGGGATATAGATCCGGTATAGTATAGCTTGAATCTGTGATTTTCTTCTCTTTATGCACCTGCACCTCCTTCTGGAATATTCATGCAAAAAGTCGTCAATATTTGCATCATTTGTCTTTACAGTTGCTACAACTGTATAAAATAATAATAACTTTAGGAAAGAGACAGAGCGGTTAATCAATTATTTAATAAGCCATTAACGTAAGTAATACAATAAAATCTGTATTAATCAAATTGACAAAATAGAATTCTTGTTTGTTTTCATTTTATATGTTTTTCTTAAAAATGCAAGTGCTATTATATAAATACATATCTCATTTGTCTTTAAGACAACTTTGTTTTACAAAAAAGAGGAAAAATTGAAAGAAACAAACTCACCAAACGACAAATAACATTGAAAAGGAATTTGTCTGATTTTTTTAACGGCTCGGGTTCGTGAGAAACTGTCCATCTTATTTTGCATTTTACATTGGTATTTTCTGGTCCATAACAAACATCTTCCAGGCACAATTTTACTTTAAAAGAAATCCCCAGAGAATTATAATTATTTCTAAAATTTGAAATGTATCTGAAAATTGATTTACTTTGTTTATTTTTCACAGTAATATTAAGGACACTGTATATAATCAACGATGAGTTGAAAACATAGAATATTTACCAGCTGGTGTTTCAGATTGTTTTTCCGAGAGTTAGACTATCCTATCCGTCATAATTTCCATAATCCAAGAATTTCAAAATGAATATTTTAACATTGTCTGTACTTTTTTGTGAATTTAGAACGTATTTCATTTAATATTTTAGTGTTGAATATATCTCACAAAGGGCGCTGCTAATCACGCAAAAACGGAAACAAAATGATTTCTTACTAGGCGTTGCTGAAATTTCCTCTGTAAAGAGAAGACTTGTTTTTCCATTGTTTATGGCAACGACTTCAATTTTATACGTTTTATAAGCAATAAGATTCTTTATGGTATACATGGTTTTGTCGGTTCTGTCTTTCTTTACCTGAAAACAAATTTAATGTACACTGAAAGTGTTTATTTTAGCGTTTTTCTTGATTTGATAATATTTTATTTCAATGAGTAGATAATATGAAGAAATGAGTCAAAAGGACAGTAAGCAATTTTTTTACATAACTAGATCTATTTTATCAAAATATATAGAATGGAGATAGGATTTCTCCCTACTTTTACATATGACCTTGCTCTATGACCTAATAACTTAAAACCAATAAGGGTCAGATACTGGACATAGTATTTGTCTATAAAACAGTACAGATATTTTTCATCAGTTTGTCTACTCCCCTTTGACTGTCTTTTTAATGATCGGGCATTAAATCTATTGGCTTAATCTTAAGTTATTCATCGGACAAAAAATTCACTAAGAGTAATTGTGAACTCGACCGGTTATCTAATAAATTGAAAGTCTTAAAGGACATATTCTGGCAAATGGCAGGGTCCCCGGCAAATAACATAAAACACGGCTCATATCTTTTCATAAATTATACCGATTTGTCTCCATACAAGTATTTCTAATACGATACAATGACAGTATTGGTAAAAATATTTTTGTATAAAACTATTGTAAACAAGAAGTATCTTTAAAAAGAGATACACGGTCGAAGTAAAAACTGGTTAAATTGCATATGTTTTATCTTATATTTCTATACAGGTTTGCAATGCTTGCATAACAATGACATAATGATTTTGTGTAGCTAAGAAACAGACAACATTTTGAAAATATAGAAATTAAAACTATTAGCATATTGAGTGGCGGCGTGGCCGAGTGGTTAACACGTCGGACAAGTAATCTAATGATTGCTGACCGCGTGGGTTCAAACCCTGTCTGGGGAACGCCGTTGTTTCCTTGAGCAAGAAAATTTACATTCATTGCTTAGGACTGGTTGGTTCCAGGAACAGATTCGAGAGTATATCAATACGCTTATAACTTCCAACACAATCGAACTGAAATGAATTTGTATAAACTATTAGCATATCCATGCTGTAACTGATGTCTATTTTAGAACATTTATTTAGGTGTCCCGATTACTTGTTCTTAAGTTTGGCTTTATAATGTTTGAAATAATATGCACTATTGACAGCATCATAAAAAATCACATAAAAAATTTAATAAAAGGATAATGAATAGAATAGCATAAACAAACTACTTTTATCTTATTTTTAATTGAAAGGAGACTATTATGATGAAAAGAAAACTATAAAACACTGTAAAACTTTTAAATTTGTTTACGGGACTAGGTTTCAAAAAACAAAAAAAATTGTTATAACTAGATATAGACTAAACCTTACCAACCACATAAATTGTGTAAACGTTTGCGGGTCTGAAGTCAAAAACAAAAAGAACAATCAAAACTGGTCATTTAGAGCTCAAGGACAACCTCCCTGCCAACTCTGACGAAGTAACCCAGTGCATTGCTTAGTTATGTATTCTACATGTTTTTAGTTGCAAAGATAAAAGCGACCTTTACCTTTGACCTACTGACCTCAAAACTGAAACTCCCACTGCATGACTTGAACACCCCCCCCCACTCATTAATGCGACTTTGCCTGGGGGAGTTTTATGATGAATATATGAGAACATGAATGATTCAAATGAGAAAATGTCTATGTCAATACACTGTTGACAGGCATTCTTTAGCATCTGAGCAGACAAGTTCATTGTAGTAAAAACCCCTGTGACCTTGACCTTTCACACAATCTCTTTAAAATCAAAGGGGTCTTTTACAATTGAACTAAAGGCCCCTGTGACCTTCCTTGACTTTTTACAAAGTGACCTCAAAATCAAGAAAGGATCACCTTATGGTGATTATCAAAATCCATGCCAAATAAAAGGCTGTGGGTCAAAAGGAATTTGCAGTTATTTGGCAGACAACCTTTTGAAGTCAAGGCCCCTGTGACCTTGAACTTTGACCTGGTGACCTGAAAATCAATAGAGGTAATCTACTTATATGACCAATCTATATACCAATTATGACGTCTATGGGTCAAAGGAATCTTAAGTTATTAGGCGGACAAGTATTTTAGTCAAGGTCCCTGTGACCTTGATCAAGTGACCTTAAAATCAATAAGGATCATCAAATTGGCATGACCGACATCCATGCTCAATATGAAGACATGAAGATTGTGGATCAATGGAATCTGAAGTTATTGGGCAGAAATACTTTAGTCAAGGCTCTATGACATTGACCTTTGACTTAATGACATGAAAATCAATAGGGCTCATCTACTTAACATGACAAATCTATATATATATAAAATATGACGACTGCGACCAAAGAAATATTATATTTAGTTATTGGGTGAACAAGCCTTTTTAAGTTAATGCCCCAGTGACCTTGACCTTTGATCCAGTGACATCAAAATATACAGGGGTCATCTAATGGTCATGACTAACCTTTATGCTAAATATGAAGATTCAGAGTCAAAGGAATCTAAAATTATTGGGCGGGCGCGCTTTTTGAAGTCAAGGCCCCTGTGACCTTGACCTTGACCTTAACCAAGTGACCTCAAATCAATAGGGTTCATCTAATAATCATGACTAACTTCTTGTCAATTAAAAAGACTTGGGTCAAAGGAATCTTAAGTTATTGAGCGGACAATTTGTTTCTAGTTTTCGTGTACCCTTGACCTTTGACCTGGTGATCTCAATAGGGTTCATTTACTAATCATGACCAATCTAAGTACGAAATATGAAGACTGAGGGTCAAATGAATCTTAAAATACGGACGGACGACAGGACGGACAAGCTGGTTCCAGTATACCCCTTACAACTTTGTTGTGCAGTGGTTTACTCAATGCAGTATTCAATCTTAAACATGGAATACTGTTAGAGGTTTATGCTCCTAAATGAACCTGCTGTGTTTCGGTAAGTGAACATAAACACCTACGCAATAGGAAGGCAAATTGTATTTATAAATAATTAATATGCAAAATATGTGAAACTATCAACAATACATTATAAACATTGAACACATTGATTATCATATATTGAAATATATTGCACATTTAGTGAAAATCATAAGCTGAGGGAACCGCATAATTTCAGACTTTTTGATGAGAGTCAATGATTTCAGCTTTTATTTTTTTAAATAACCAATGACATTTCTTCTTTCATGTAAAGGTTAAAGGAAGTCAAACTGATTTAAGACGGCCTTTAAAAGTAAAAGTAAACTATGTCAAAATGGTTTGACCTCGGTAAAAAAAGGATACTGGTTTTATATTAATTTTCAAGGAAACTGGCTATGTATTGGTTAATAATAAAACAGAAGCTATAAGTGTATACGTAAAATCATCACTTTACTTAATTTCAGAGCGCTAAACAGGAAATTTACTGAAAAAATGGGTTTGAACTTTGTACGAGTTTAAATTACAGAGGTACTCAAGATATACCTGATTTGTCGGAATAAGTTAATGTTATACAGACATATCAACGGAAAGTTCAATTACTGTTTGCCTAGGGATATAGTTATTTTCCTTCATTTGATGTAAATTGTACGGGAGGCTAACAAATTAATCATAGTACAATGTATGCAATGGTTTACATCGTTGAAATAAAATTGACATGAAATAGTGAGCTGCTACAAGTAAAATAGATTTACCTTATTGCATGTGATTTCGTATTGCAACTGCGGGTTCGAAATACAATCAGGTTTAGTCCATTGTACCTCAATAACCGTTAAATTTGCAGTATATCCTTGATCATTCAGCATACCTTGTCGAAATAAAATGATAATGCAATATTTATAAAATGTTTTACAATCTTTAACATAAAATAAGTAAATATAAACAGTAGTTGTTAAAGATTATATAGAACGATAATCAAAGTATCAACGTCTTGTTTCGGGAAAATCATAAATAAGCAAACTGATAATTATAAGAAACTCTCTCACTATATCGAACTGCTAATTTCCCAGAAACGAATGTGGCATTCATGCACTATTAGAATTGATTTTTTAATCAGATTATAGGCACAAAAACAAAAACGAAAAAAACACCTTTGTTTTATTGCTTACTTAAAGAACCTGTATGTTTTAATTGAGGTTGCATACCACACTTAAGTATAATTATATATATGTATATGATTATGCTTAAAATATAAACAAATTTCAAACATCGAAAAATATGTAAAATATGTAACTGCAAATATTTGTACATATGATATGTAATTATTAAAACATATGCATTCATTTATTTTTGAAAAAATTGACTTAAATTTTATAGAAAATAATTTTTATTACCTTCCTTTATTTACATGAAATGTTAAATTAGGTAATATCTTTACCAATAATGCTTTTTGGATTTTACAAAATTGATAAATCTTAATTTGAGCATCATATTTATTATATAAAACCATACAGAATTTCTGTTACAGGATCTTTAATTATTTACAGAAACACGCATTGTACTCCATGTTAGTAATAACAAATTATATAGAAAATATATGTAATATATGTCATAGCGTACCAGCTTTTCGTGTGATTACAGATATTTGTGTTGCTGAACTCTTCAAACAGCATAATTTCCGGGATAAACTTATCTGATAAATAGCCATAGGATCGAGATTTTCCAATGTGAAATTTTTTTTCTTTGTGAATTCTTCTCGACAATTTTTATCCTTCACTTGCCCCTGGGTCTGCAAGATTTTAAACAGGAAAGACACATAATTTAAAACAAGCATTTGATAGTATTGCGGGCAATACAGTAGTCCCCTACCGGTCCCTCAAAAAGTTCTTTAATTGTCATACACTCCTGTGTATTGCCATTTATAATGAATTTGAGGATGAAGTCTGTATTTGAAAATATCAACCACAAAACATAATAAAATAAGTTTGTCTATATCACAGTAATGTGTTAAGTTTCCATGCTTAGTAAGGAAATTATGTTTATACAACCTTGTCATATTATTACGATGTGGGATTTTAAAGTAAATCCTATAAGGAATGAAGAAGTTGGAGTGAAAATACCAGTTTCTCGAAAAAAATCTAAGTTCAAGGGGGACATAATTCTGGAAATAGTCTTGCTAGAGTATTTAACCTTCTCAAAAATGTCGAGTGATAATAAGAAACATATATATGAAGTTTGAAGTAGATACATTAGGAAATAAAGAAGTTATTTAAAAAAGACAACATTTTTTCCCCTAAAAAATCTAAGTTCAAGGGAGGTAATACTGATATTTTTTGTGCTAGAGTTATAAACCTTGTCACATATGATGTGGTTGATGACCAGAAACTTATATTTAAAGTTTGAAGTAAACACCTTAAGAAATAAAGAACTTATAGTGAAAAAGTTGAAAAATTTAAATCAGAAATCTTGAAATTCAGGCTATTTGTTGCCATAGCAACCAGAATTTTCAACATAGGAAGAAAAGAAAAAGATGTGCATAATCTCCAGACTGCCATCTACCCATATTTCAAGTTTCATAAAAATATTTTCAGTACTTTTTGAGTTATCACTGGATCCAGTTTATGTGTTAAATTTGCAATATTTTCAGACTATTTGTTGCCATAGCAACCAGAATTTTCAACATAGGAAGAAAAAAAAAAGACGTGCATAATCTCCATACTGCCATCTATCCATATATCAAGTTTCATAAAAATATTTTCAGTACTTTTTGCGTTATCGCGGGATCCAGTTTTGTGGACGGACGGACTGACGGACTGACAGACAGACGGACAGACAGACAGACAGACAGACGGACAGACGGACGGAGGGTAAACCTAAAGTCCCCTCCGGTTAAACCGGTAGGGGACTAATAAAGTCACGGTTACTCTTGAAATTTAAACCCGATTAAAACTATTTTTCGTATTTGCTTTATACAATACATGGACTTTTGTTGTTTGTTTCAATAAAACTAGTGAAAGAAAAATATACACATCAATTATATATAAATAAGGATCTATAAAATATCAAGTTATTACAAGGCCATGTTTGTATAGCCACCCCCTCAGAGTGTGGCTATGTGTGTCCTTATTTGTTTGAAATCACATTACGTTTTAGTAAATTAAATATAGACTGAAAACTGAAATGTATACATATTTTATTTTCACGAAACAATAAAAATGTCACTATTAAAAAGATCCACTTCTGAACGGGTGAACTGCTCCGCATTTTCTGAGGCAAGTTCATCGAAAATAGAACATTGCAGTGAATGGTTTTCAAAATAAAGGTCAATGTTTACTTATAGCAATCTTTTCTAAAGTGTTTACCTTTACGGCTGTTTAAGGCAATCTATTCATAAATTACAATTATAACACAGCCATTTATGGAGACAAGTTTCAAAACAAAATACCTTGTCTAATCCTAGACTAATGCAGAAAAAACAAGTGCAACATTGTCGCAAATTACGCCCTTCACAAAAGCTTTTGACAAAGATATGCGCATTATAGATATGCATATATGAATTAGGAGATATGCTCTGGGCAATATCCGTAAAATATCTTGATATTTTATCATCATTAGTGACAATAACCTTGCAAATATTAACCAAAATAACATGTGTCACACTTGTAGTTATGATAGTTATCATTTGTGTTATAATTCATCAATATGATGACTACATGGTCACCGTTCACAAACTTTGACATCTCTTTTTGGCCTTGACTTTGGTACATGGGACCTGGAATATGTGCGCAATAAGCCTTACAATGGTGAACATTTGTGCCAGGTTACATGAATACCACCCCCATGCTCCGAACAAGCATTTTTCAATGACCTCTTATAATGGTGAACATTTCTATTAAATTTCATTAAAATTCAATTAGGTGTGAAGGAGTTAAATTTATCATATTTAGGGACAATGACTTTGCATAATTATATTAACCTAAATTAATGTTTCACACCAATAGTTATGATAATAATCATTTGTGTTTTAATACCTCAATACATGATTAATAAATGGTCCGAATGCACATTTTCATATTTTTCTGATATTTGACCCCTATCTGTGACTTTGACCTTTGCCGCAGGGACGTTACTTTTGCATGCGGCATTCCGCATCATTATGGTGTTCATTTTGTTCCAAGTTATATTGAAATCCCTCCATGCATGTAGAAGTTTTGTTCCGGACAATCATTTTTCAATGACCTTAATGGTTAACTTTTGTGTCAAGCATTTTACAATGACCTCAATGGTTAACATTTGTGTCAAGTTATATTGAATTCCTTTATGTATACAGAAGTTTTGCACCGAACAAGCATTTTTAATGACCTCTAAGTGTGATCTTGACCTTTAAACTAGAGACTTGATTTATGCTCGTACACAGCTTCTTATAGTAGTGAACATTTCTATGAAGATTCATTAAAATTCTTCCATGCGTTTAAGAAATATGCTCCGGACAATAATCGGATGCCGCCGCCCAGCTGCCCGCCCGCCGACCAGGGGGGGGGCACTATGATACGACCAGTTTTTTTTAAATGGGCGTATAAAAATACATTATTACATTTAGCAAAGGGAAATACAAATGTAATACAAGTAAGAAACGACTAGATAGATTTATACAGATGGAATAACTCGTATTTAACATTTAAGGCTCCAAACCAATCCTATGCTAAAATTTTGATGTTTTGTTCTGGACAATAAAAGAGGAAAATTCGGAGAAGAAGCAATATACCTAGAATACTTGAGTTAAGATGTTCGAGGTAAACTTATGTAAAGGAGACGAACGGAAGGAGACTATTTTCATATCCGTATCGATAGTTCGGCGGAAAATAACAAACTTACCGGGCTGCAAACGATGTTATATCTAAAAATCTTTGAACAAAAATTTAGGCTGTCGGTCCATTCTAAATATATTTCTGTGTCCTCTAGTTCAATCTTTGTAAATTTTGGTTGAATTTTGGTTGATACTGAAATATTGAATAAAAGTATGTTTTGTTTGTGTTTAGACTTAAGGTCATTCTTTTGTGAATTGTCAAATATATTCTGATAAAATGCATTGTTGTTTAGTTTTGTTTTATTTATAATAACATAACAAATTTGCATTAATAACATTTAGTTCAAAGACTGATTTTAATAGGTAGACTAGTTGTTATTTACGAGTTAATTTATTAATGATCATATAATTTAGTTGTTTCACCAGAAATATTTTCTTCTGAACTCAACAATAAACTCTCCCAGTTTTGCAATATCTTATAAATTTTTCAATATATCAGGCAAATAATTTTAATTATTCCCTATATTGCTATAAATTAATATTGCCAATAACAAAGTCGAGGACGTCAAGATATATATTTTATTGGCAGGCAACTTTGAAGAAATCTTTAAAAGGTGCTTTAAGTTTTCTTGTATATCGATACTCTATGTGTCCAAACTTGATAAATGGTACTAATAACATATTTTGTATTGCATGGAAAAGGCATTTCACGTCATTATTTAACACAGCGTCTTGGGACCCTACCAACAAACAATTGTTCTTCAATATTGGACCAGGTTGGATTACAGAAAGCGAATGTCAAACCAAACAATAACTCATATATAGTCTTACTCATACTGATATAATTACACCGTCAATGAACATGAATATGTTTCTTCTTTATTTTAAAAGTGTCAGTGGAACTTAAAATAGCGTAATATCCATGGTGACATTAGCGGTCCGATATTAAAAGTATAGTTAGCACTGTTTTGTTTATATCGGAGCAATATTATATATTGAGCAATAAAATCACAGATTGGTATATATTATTTCTGAAATAAACGAACCCTCTAGTATAAATATTAGTGAGTTGTATTTACAAGTAAGAAAAAAACTAACATGATAACAGAACTAATGGCTGTGTGCTATGACAAAAGGTAAATAACTATATATTTTAACTACGCATAAATTAACATGTATCTAAAAGCTTCCGGGGTCATTTTTGTCACCCAGTTTTTGTAGATTCATTTCCTGTTTAAAATTATCGCTTTATAAAGATAAAACTATTTTAGATTATTACATTCACAAAATGGTTTATATATACTAAAATCAGGATTTCGAATAACTGTGACACAAACGGACATTACATTATTGAAATTCTGTTTGAACTATTTTCTAATAATTATTATCTTTCTTTAATAAAATTGATTTGAGATCAGTTCATGTGTTGTTCTGGTTAAACCGCTAATATGTAAATATAATTATAACGCAGTCAGTCCACGTTACCAGCTTCTTTGATAACTAACCAGTAATTACAATACTATCAGCAAGTAACCGACTATAAATCGCACAATTATTTTAGAATTATCGGTGAGATAGAGATTACCATACTAGTGTGCGTCTTTTATTCAAACTTTGCCGAAAATTATGAATTTCATAATATCAGACATTTGTTTGGTATTTTCTGCATCATGTTTTCAATTTTGATATGCGTTTCTTTCTTCTTATTTTAAAATAAAACAAAAATCTGTCAAGAACCTCTGGAGTTTATGCCTCGCAAATTAATAGCCCTAGGGTCATATCTATAAAAGAAATTTAGAACGTTTTAAGACTTATGTAAGAGAGACTTCAATATCCATAAATTCTATTCGATTCAAAGTTTATCAGTTTAACATTTCAAACTGAGTCTAGTAAGAGGTAAAATATTCCATTATTTCCGTTTTATTTCAATATGTATTGATGAGGTGTCTGATAAATATGTGGGTGACTGATAAAGCTAAATTTACAAGTAATGCACTTTATCAAGAGATGAACAAGAGTAATAATGTTATTTACATGTTCATCATATTAATTTGAATAATTTACCTGTATCCAAGAAAAATTCTTAATCCTTGCAAGTACATCCCATTCTTATAACAGTACTTTGTCAAATAAAAAGTGCAATTGACGTATTTTTTCAAATATTTTTTTTTCTTAGCAGATAAGTCATTGACATGACGGATATAAATATAATCAAATGCAAACTTGATTATATTTCTTAAAAATTACATAATTAACCTGGTAGTTGAAATATGATTAATCTTTGCTCTGATTTATTTGCTGAGATCATCACTCAAAAATGACTTAATTTTCATTAGCTGATTAAAATATTCCATGTTCCTTGTACGGATATAACGTTGAATAGAACTCCAAGCGTCTGATTTAACCCGTATATTCTACCAAATCTTTAAGTAAGATAGTCGCAATATAAACAAATAACACATCAGTTAAGAAGCAATAAAATAATCAACGTAAAAGATGATTTTCTTTTGCAATTATTATTGTACAAAACTATACAAAAGTAGAATAAAGTAACACATATAGTTAATACGAGTGATCATCGAATGAGGGTAATCAGGCTCTCTATCTACTGAGTAGAGACGAACTGATTGCCCAAACATACCGACCGAAATCTGCCGACATTTGAAATATACCCCCATTCTTGGTTAAAGAGACAACGCTTTATCCATTAACTTTATATTGTATCTAAAAAGGTTAATAGCTAAAATATACGAAATGATGAAAACTTACCGCAGCAGTGTAAAATGATAATGACCAAAACGCAAAGGCCGAAAAGACCACCCAAACCTCCAAAAATACAAATGAGCAAAATAATACACAATGTATCGCAGTATGGTCCATCACTTTCACTCGGTTTATTCACTGAAACGTATAAGAAAATTTTGTCAACATATATATCGTAATAGTCAGGAAAAACTTAAATGGAACAATAGCATTAAAACGGCTTCTTTACATTTATATATAACAGTAATGCACATTCAAGCTTTCTTAATACTACATTTTTATTACGAATAAAGAAGTTGTTTATATTAAATATCTGAAGAAAAAAAAAACAACAAAAAACAAAAACACAAACGTGGTTATACAAGAAAACAATTTTAACCAGCAAGATACACAGACACTCTCTGATGGCTTTTGTTTTAACAGTTCATAATGTTCTTATGATATCTAATAATGTATTAAACTATTAAGCCCTTTAATTAAAATTTTATAAATTTAAACAAGCGGTGATAATTTTGCATTAGTAATCATGATTTTAACAAATTTATGAGAAATAAATGGGCGGTGAAGGGGGTCTTTGGCTTTCTTTTGGGGTTTTCTTTCCAACAGAGTGAATATTAATTTATCAATTATATTAAGGTTACTTTCAGGAGCAAATAACTTCAAATCAAGCAAACTGATTACTTGATTTTGATTTTCATGGGTTTTATTACATAAGATTACACTCGGCGCTTCCACGCATCATCAGATCCTTTCCATGTGAAGGCAACTCTAGGTAAAAACATGTTTATGATAAAGATAATCATATAACCTTATTTAATCTTATAATACAAAATTATTGAAATGCGCACTTGGCAAACATTACAAATGTAACAGACATATTATACCTATAATTTAAAGTTGCACTCAATGTTAGCATGCATATCAGTTTCAATTTACAAATTTGCTTAGTCTTAGTATTTTTAAAAGTCAATGTTTTGTGCATTAACGTGAACATGCGTGTGTATTTTACTAATATATACCTGCCAGCACTTAAGGGTTCTCACACCTAAAGGTAGTGTCTCACTGCGACACCTGGAAAGCTGTTTTAGACACAATTTTTGCAAATTTTATTTCACATGAAATTCATTTGAACATTTGCACGATTATTAAGAAACGAAAACAGTCAGATAGAAATAAAGACAACATACACGAAATTCAGCAGTCAGAGCATCATTTGGGATTGATCAACCTCTAGATGAGGAGCCTAATTTAGCTGATAAGTTCCCTTGGCGTTGCGGTTTAAAGAGCTACGGACTTTGAATCTTCTCAAAATCGATCGGGTTACTGAGCCACAATTCATCCAGAGTATCCTGATGCACCACCTGACCTCATCATTTGCATCAATCGAATTCTGCTAAGTTCTTAATTGCTAGGATGCGCGAGACGACCGTCAGTGATTTTCAATTTAGTGTGAGGACCCTTAAAAGTGGTCTATATAACGTGTTAAAAACTCTGATTTGGGATTTTTAGATAACTCACATAGAGCTCTATGTGTTATATCTTCTTCTCTCTCTCAAAACAATTACAAGTAGTGTAACGTTTTGCATGAATTATACGTGCAAATTATGATATGTTTTAAAAGTGTCGGCCACTCCGTTTTTTAAAAAAAAAAAAAAAAAAAAAAAAAAAAGTCCATTTCTTTCATGGGAAAATATAATAAGGTATTTTGAATAGTGTCCATATTCTAAATTTGATGTATGACATAATTGCAGTCGATTGAATCACCAAGACAGTGTATTTTACTACAGATTCTTCTTTCGTAACGAAAGGAAAAGTCATTAAAAGAATTGAAATATAAATCTTAAAATAACAGATGCTTAAGCAAGTGCTCGATAACACTTCCCTGATACATGTCATTATTTTGATATCAGGTTAGTAGCCTTATACAAAAAATAAGACCTGCTTATTTCAACGGATTTTTTTACAACAGCTTATATTCTCATTTTATTTAGGACTATCAGCTTTTTAATTCGAGCCTTTTGGTCAATTTTTTTCAATAAAATAAATTTTAAAAAATAGTTTATTTTATACCCAAGAAACAGTTTAAAAAGAATATTTAACAATATCTATTTAGAATCAAATGCTTAAAGTGGACTAAAGTGGGAACATAAATAATATTTTACATAAAAATTATAACAAATATTGATAACAAAAGCAGATATAATTTGAATGTTCCTAAAATCATTTTTGTGAGGATTTTTGGTTAAGTTTGAACATATCTATGATAAAAATTTGATCTATTTGAACAATTTATTATCTGTTTTGTATAGATATGTAATATCGGATGCTGTATCCCACGCATACTAACAATATCCATAACACAATTAGTTCATGGTTCGTTGTCATTAGTGATACTAAATGCCATTAGCATAATTATCTATATATTATATACCTTCCTTTATGGCAAAATTTGTTTAATTGATTTGCTCAATGACTCAATTATTTTAGATTTTGTTTAGGTACTTGCGAAAAATGTGTAAATGCACAAGCCATAAAGATTTTCTTTATAGAAAGTGCATATATTAAACATTTAAAAAAGGTAACATTTCATGCGCTTTGGGAAATATTGCAAAAAGTAGCAGGTTTAAGAATGTCTACACAACCAATTATGTATAGAATGAGAAAACTATTTAAATACAAAAAGATTTGCTATAACATGTATAACATAAATTTCTAGGTATTGAAATTTCTCAATAAAAGAATGCTAGTCTACATTTACAAGAAAGGAATCACGATAGTGTAATTTTGAGGAAATAAAACTTATTTCAAGATAAAGGATGAAGAAATTGTTTTAGGTTTAATGTAAATATTGATATTTTTTGCTGTGCTCTTAACACAAATTAGAGTGAATGGACCACACAACTCAAACCAATGACATGAAGGAACATTTTAAGGTCGTTTACTTCAAACCACGTGTGCCTCACCGCAGAAGGTTCTGCCTGGGAATTTGGATTGTCAGCTGATGACCTAAGGCAAACCAGATATACACAGGACTTTCACTTTTAATAAGTTATCAGGAGTAGTAAATTCACATCGATTACAAATCGATTACAAATATGCAAACGGACCAAACATTATTAAAATCAATTGTCTAAAAGTTATGAAGTATACAACATTCAATATAGGCTCACAATCACAGAGTAAGATAGGGACATATATATCGACACTATTTTATTTGATGCAAGTTTAGTCTTCTTCAGTCTGTTCAGTTTTGTCATTTGTTTTCAACATTAGTAAATACCTGCTTCTTATCTATCTCTTTTATAACCCTAACTTTTAGTGAAAAATAAAATGTGCGCTTTCTAAAAATGTCTTAACTTTCTCATAGGGTAATGGAATTCATAGGACACTTAATGTGACGCGTCTTACCATTCCGACACTGGTCGCATTTAAAACAATGTCCATGCATTCCCTTAACAGAAAATAAACAGTAAATCGACAGCAGGCTTTTCGGCTATTGTCAGAACTTGATAGTAAAATAAGAACATGTCGTTATACATTATGTTAAAAGTGGTAATAATCCCGAAAATTAAGAAAAAGTTCTGTATCCAAAAATTTGTAAAATGCCACAAAATTATTTTCAATAATTCAAAGTATTGTGTAAAAAATCTAATAACCATTATTCTAAGTTAAAACAATTTACAGTGATATTGGCATGCGAGCAGTTACCGTACAGAAGCAGTAACCGTATTTTTCATTTTAACGCATGATTTTACTAGCATTCTTTAAAAATTGATATCAAATCAAGCATATTTATGAACGAGACAAAATCTCAGTGTCAGCTTGGCAGAACGTGTAAAAAGGTTTTATTTTAAATCACTCTCAGCTGTGCTTTGTCAAATCGTGACCTTGTAAACATTGGGGGATTTCGTCCTTTTGCGCATGCGCAAAATACTTACAAATGAGACCCGTTAAAAGGATTTCCACTTATACCACCTGTGTACAGATAAGTGTGCAATGTGATGAAAAGCTTAATAATCAGAATTTCAATCTACATTACAATCTTTTATAAATTTATGACTTTAATAAGTAAAATATCATGCATACAAGCAAGCCATTGCGTGTGAAGGCGTTGGGCAACGGTACGAGGTAATAGATACTATAGCGATAAGTTTACGCTCTATTTCCTGAATGACACATATTTACCTCTGGGAAAATGGTATATTCTCAAAATAAAATGAAAAATAGGTCTTATATAACAATATTGTATAATTATAATGTGTTTTATCTTATGTACGGAAACTACTTCTCCTCACATAAAATAATGGATAATTTTAGTACCCTTATAAGGCCTCATAACTAAGGGTTACATGTATTCTATGTTAAGAACATAATGGAATTTCCATTATGTATGTGACGAGCCGAATATTGATGTGAAACAATCATTTTTGGTTAGAGTAATAAAAAATAATGTTTAAGTAACTGCGGGAACTGCTCGCATGCCAGTATAGCATTTGTGTCGTTTAATATGCAAACTCATATGAAAATAAAATAAAAAAAGGAAAAAAAAAAGAAAACAAAACAAAACTGAAAACTGAAGTTGCCACACTTGAACTTGGCTTAAGGAGATGGCATAAATTTCTGGTAAAGTAAATCAGAGTAATGTACAGCTCTTGTAAAAATTATTTAAAGTTGTAAAATAATCTGGGTTGAGTAATCAAAAACTATATAATATTTCTTGGTGGAATTAATCAGTATAATTAATTAATTGTATATAATTTTAGAATTACAGAGTTGTACTAATATACAATTACACATCTAGGCAGAATATATTTAAATCTAAATGTGCATATATCAATTTGTATCTAATCAATCTGTTTAATTCTTTTTCTGTACGAAATCTGCTTTGGTCATAGTATTATTTTTACAATAGCTTTAGCTCTTACATTTGGTTTGCTATTGCTAATCATGGTCATGCAACTACATAGTTAGGTAAAGAAGCAGACGCTTGTTTTGGTTGAATCTATTATGTTTTGTTTAGGGGTTGAGTTGTCATACACAAATTTACAATTTATATGCATTTATTTTTTTCCAATGATTGTTATTATCTTAAATGCTTCTGGGATTGTTGTTTTATCAATTCATTTGTAAATAAGACTGTTATATGTCTATTAACGGAATCATTTTATTGAACACGAAATTAGTTCACACCTTTATGTGTATTGATAACGTGATGGTTTAAGCCAATGAAAACACATCAATATTATTACAATCAGGCAGAGAAGTAAATCGATAATCTTTATGTAGCAAACAAAATTTGAATTGCAAGTATTTTTTCATATCTTTTCGGCAGGATAAACTGTCCGAGGAGGGCCAGGCATTTTCATATCGTAAAATGGCTGCCATTTACAGTATCAAGTGACATTCGGAACTGCCTCGGATATTATCTATAATAACCTCGGAAACAATACGGATTGAAAGTAGTTCTACAACGTGGTTTACAGATGTAAACAGAAACAGAGATAATGTAAAACGAATGTATATATTTGACATCTAATGTCTGTTCCGGTACTCTTCTGCTTGAAAATATGTCTGACAACAATTTGTAATTTGAATATGCCCACTGATGTTCAATTTTTAACAAATCCGACTAAATGTCAACAGGTTGGTTTTTTGTACTTTCGGTTTCTACAGCCATATTAGAAAATATATAAATAATGTATTGTTTGCTTTTGTACCTATGAATATTCACTTATTTTAGGTGGACTTTAACTACATATATTTGAAATAAATTGTCAACAACTCCCAGCATTAAATTACTATTTGTTTACATGTTTAGTTTCTTAGTGTAGGTTAGACCGGAATACCGCATCCGTTCTGTGTATTCATACTATTGTGTTCGAGGTCCTTATCCGAAGACTGACGGAAAGGACCGAGTCAAGTGATTATTCCAAGCACCACCGCGACTTAGCGCGGGAATTATAAATATAGCTAACCTCGTAGCCTGGGTTTTAGGCGTTGATATTTTTTTGCTTATTTATAACATACGCTCTATTTCATACTCGATCGTCTAACGCACAACATCTCTGGTTTTGATGTCGATTTGCCGAACAGAAGCGACAGACTGGAACCAAGGCTACTAACCTCGGCGCGTCGCATAGGATGGAAAATACCTTTTTCTTATTTTATTGTAATAAATATTTATAAACTGCGTCTTTCGGGTTTTTTTTTTATCAATATATAACCAATAATGATGTTAATATGAATAAATAATCATATCTCAAATCTGTGACTATGACTTACAATGAAATTCTACCTTTAGTGTATTAAAAAGGTTTATAATTTCCTGTAATTTTATTCTGTGATTATGCTTCAAAGCAGTCAATTGACCGTGAATTTTCTTTTCATATTTTGATTTCCTTGAAATCATTTTTCTCATCTGAAGGCATGCAACTTTAATATGATGATACATTAATTACATTCCATGAAAATGTTTAAAGATATAAAATATCTCATGACATGTTTGTTCATTTTACATTACACAATGCAGCAAACATAAAAAGTCTTCACAAAAAGTAGTATGCAATCGTACCTATATTACATACGAATGTATGTAATATTTTTCTTGTTTATAATTCTGGGTAAGAATGATCAGAGTTGTACATTTCCGGGCGCAATTAATTAAAAGTTCAATATATACTTTAGTAAATTATGTTTGTAGACGACTGTAAGGTCATGTTTTATGGCAAATATCCTAAATCTGTGACTTGTGTTTTCAGAACAGAAGTATTTTAAGACATTAATATGAAAAAACGGGACCTTTTACAATGGGGCATGACTTAAATAGTTTGTACTTATGTCCACTTGACAAAGTTGCAAACATAGATCTAAGCTCTTAGCATAGGCGATACCCCAGTTAGCAATAATGCCTCATATTAGTTTTGTATAGGACTTATAGGTTATCTATAAGCTAACAATATGTTAATGTGTTCGATTTTTTTTGTTTTGCTTTTTTGCTTCTAACGACATATCAACAGAGTAAAACATAAAATTTTTATTAATACTATGATAACATATATTTATATTCCATCTATAATGTACAGATTATAGTTATTCTTTTTAAAAATTGAACTTTGAATAATGCATGTGACTGTTTATTTAAATAAAAGTGACAATATGCTCAGTGTTTTTTTGCTGGCAAGTTTAATCTATAATATTTATCACCAACACAGTATAAGTCAATATGAAACCGAAACAGGGAAAATGATTTCTGCTTCACCCCGGTTGTATAAAACGTGAAAGCAACACAATGGGCCAAAGCCTTCGAACCTGTTGGAGCTATGAGATGCATATATTCCAGCTTTTCGAACCCATTAAGTCGCCTCTTACGATCACACGTGGATAAACGGTGACATCAATTATTATGTCTAAACCATAACAGGTAATGCATAAGTCTCAAGGGCTAATTAATGATGGAAAAATATTAAGGATAAAATATAAACACTATATATAATATAAACATTATACAAGAACAGACCAACTCTTTTTACAACTGGAACACTGATACATTATGAACGATATTTATAAAAAATCCACAGGTGACTAGTATTTTTATTATAATAATTCTTTAGAATTCAAAACACAATTGTGGCAAAAATTAAAGTTATTGACTTAAACTTATGCACTCACCATCTACACTTGGGTATGTTTTTGTCACTTTAAATGAATATAATAGGTCCATACCATTATTTATGCTTGAATGTACCCAGATTCGAAATAATCTTCCAAAAAGAGATTTCTATTTAAAAGAGTTTACATGAATGCTGATTGAAAACACGGACATAACGTCACATATTACACTTTGCCCTGATTAATATTAATCTAGCTAAGTGCACAACAAAATCGCAGTCTCTGGTAAATATACGATGTAAAACGGAACAAAAATAACAATTAGAGCAACAACAACAAACGCACAATTATTAAACATAATATTATTCGAATATTTCTTCAGTGTTGACATCCCGGTTTCATGCTTTACATATCACGAATAAACGCACTCAAATATGGTAAAAATAAATCCAAATGGAAAGTTTACGTCACTACCAGACTCTTTTGACCGCTAATAAGTTTACTTTATTCATTTGTAAGTTATAAGTTGTTATCGACAAGACCGAATGATGTTTTCCGATTTTCTTTTCTTTGATCTTGTAAGGAAAAAAAGGTAAAAGAGCGTTACCACAGAAAATATTAAAACAACAAAAGCTAAAGCAATAAACAGTACAAAATAAGATGATTTCTTGTCTGTTTTCGACACAGGGGAGGCAGGTGTAGTACTTGGTAGGACTGACACTGATAACATACTAGAAGGAACAGTTGTAAGATTAGTTCCCGTACCTGTTGTGCTAGTAGTGTTCATGATGGATGAATTGTTTTGATCTGAAATGAAATAACGTTTCCATCAATTTTGTTTTTACAATCAATTATTGTGTCCTCAAAGCAGGATTTCCTTATATTAATCGATTTAGTATAAATTTATTACGTGATTCTTTCATCACATACACTATTATATCAGCAAAACGTTTTTGGAATACTACAAGGCTAAAGCTTTCTAGTTTGAAATTTGAAATTAAAGGCAGCCATGCTCTACTTCACCAGGTTTGATCACATTCAATTACCTGCCTGAATCCTGAATCAATTACCTCGGACATTGAATTTTTTCACTCGAGGAGGGTTTAGGAAGTTTAAGTCAATGGCATAACCTGTGTATATGTGTGTCTGAATTAATGTAGTTGTGAGCCTGGAAGACACCTAAACTAGCAAAGCTAGATCTTAAATTATGTCATTCATTGTGACAATGATACTTATTTCTTACATATTCTGATGATGTACATGTATTAAAATTGTTTAGAACACAATACAATGAACATGTTTCTACGATAGCTTTATTTCCAAACCGTATTACTCCATTACTTGTGTAGCGTGAACCGAACGATGATTATTTATCTTTGTGTTACACAATAAAATCTTGATATACTTGATTGCAAATAAATGTGTTTTTCTTGGAATACTTATCCGTACTGATTTACTGATTTGAAATGTTCATAGATCAAATTTTTCGGGGTTTCTTAGCCTTATGATTTGAAAATAACTAAATCAAAACATCATTCAATGCATAAAGCAACCTTAATCTGTTTCTAAATTCATTCAAAAACATTTATTCCAAGTTACAATATATGTTCTCTATTCCCTACTAAATAACATGCTAAAGCAAGCTTAACCTATCTTTAATTCCACTATTTTAACATTTCGACAATCTCGTATCCTATATTTCTTTTCCAAAAATACAATTCTTAAAACATTCATAAGAAATGGTAACCAATTTCCCAATTAATATAGCATCCTTAGTACCAGATATCCGACATGTTTGTATACTAGTTACTGTACGCTTAAACTTCTCTGATTCAAATCATAATATTTCTAACCACCAGAGATCTTACAAAAACAATAGAAATATTTCAAAACCAGATATCTGAGATTTCTGTGTACAAGAAAATGTCACTATCATAACGATCCTACTAAAAAACAAGAGGGCCATGATGGCCCTAGATCGCTCACCTGACTTATCAAACTCATCCAAACAATTACCTAGACAAGTATTCTGACCAAGTCTCATGACAGGTGAGTCAAAAATGTAACCACTACAGTGTTAACAAGGATTATCCATATTTGAGCAGTACGACCTAGTTTTTTACCCGGGTGACACATATTCAAACTTGACCTAGAAATCATCAAAACAAACTTTCAGACCAATTTCCAGGATACTTGGATCAAAACAGTAGCAACTTGAGTGTTAACAAGATTTTTCTATTTTTAGCTCCGGTGACCTAGTTTCACATGCGATTTCATACTCATCCAAGCAATTACCAAGACAAGCATCCTGACCAAGTTTGATGATAATTGAGTCGAAAATGTGACCACTAGAATGTTAACAAGGTTTTTCCATATTTGGGCGGTGTGACCTAGTTTTTCATCCAAGATGACCCATGTTCGCTCTTGACTTAGAAATCATCAAAACAAACTTTCAGACCAATTAACAGAATATTTGGATCACAACAGTAGCCACTAGAGTGTTAACAAGATTTTTCTATTTTTAGCTCCTGTGACCTAGTTTTTCATCCGAGATGTCCCATGTTCGATTTATTCCCAGCAATGACCTAGACAAGTTTCCTGACCAAGTTTGATGACAATTGAGTCAAAATTGTGACCACTAGAGTGTTAACAAGGTTTTTTTATTGTTAGCTTCTGTGACCTAGTTTTTCATCCGAGATGACCCATGTTCGAACTCATCCGAGCTATCACCTAGACAAGCATCTTGATTAAGTTTGATGATGATTGATGCAAAAATGTGACCGCTAGAGTGTTAACAAGGTTTTTCTATTTTTAGCTCCGGTGACCTACTTTTTCATCCGAGATGACCCATGTTCTAACTCATCTGAGCTATCACCTAGACAAACATCTTGACCAAGTTTGATGATGACTGATGCAAAAATGTGACCGCTAGAGTGTTAACAAGGTTTTTCTATTTTTAGCTCCGGTGACCTACTTTTTCATCCGAGATGACCCATGTTCAAACTCATCTGAGCTATCACCTAGACAAACATCTTGACCAAGTTTGATGATGACTGATGCAAAAATGTGACCGCTAGAGTGTTAGCAAGGTTTTTCTATTTATAGCTCCGGTGACCTAGTTTTTCTTCCGAGATGACCCATATTCGAACTCATCCGAGCTATTATCTAAACAAGCATTCTGACCAAGTTTGATGATGATTGGTTCAAAAATGTGACCACTAGAGTGTTCACAAGGTTTTTCTATTTATAGCTCCTGTGACCTACTTTTAAATCCGAGATGACCCATGTTCGAACTTATCCGAGCTATCACCTAGACAAACATCCTGACCAAGTTTGATGATGATTGGGTCAAAAATGTGACCTCTAGAGTGTTCACAAGGTTTTTCTATTTTTAGCTCTTGTGACCTAGTTTTTCATCCGAGATGAGCCATGTTCGAACTCATCCGAGCTTTCAACTAGATAAGCATCCTGACCAAGATTGATGATTGACGAAAAAATGCGACCGCTAGAGTGTTCACAAGCAATTGTGGACGGACGACGTACGACGGACGACGTACGACGGACATTCACCGATCCTAGAAGCTCACCCTGAGCAAGCTCAGGTGAGCTAAAAATAAAATATCTATTTTCCCAAAATACCTCAACTGAAACACTTGCCAAGATGTTTAACAGAAACAATAAAACGTCATCAATGCCAGAAATATGAGATTTCTGAGACACAAGTATGTATTTACTACCTCGTTCATTTTCATTATCAGACCTACCAAAACTTTCTACTTATCAAACGTTTGTCCAAGAGGTTTCAATGAAACAGCAATGTATTGCTAACACCAGCTATCTGATATTTCTGCGTACTAGTAAATACAATACTGCTCTGATCTTTTTCACGAACAAAAACCAAATTGACTCTTTTACACTGCACACGCTATGACTATACTAGTAATGCATATGGTCAGACTTTATTGTTTTCTAAAGTCTCAATGGTAATTTGTGACTTATATATTAGCATTTAAAAAAGGCATATCAGTCCTGTGATCAGCAGACATTTTATAAAAAGGGGCGTAATCCCTATGTTACATGATCATTTATATGTGTCAAGCATTTCATTCTAATCACCTCTTTACCACGAATAACAAGTTTGAAAAGAAAAGAGGGCCATCTTTCGTAATGTAAGGCAATTGGAAAATGTGAGAATCTCAAAATGTTCTCTAACAATGATATTGAATGGTTAAATAAAACGTTTCTAAGTACTGCTTTTAACAAAATCGTATAAGCGTCTCGTATCTGAAGTTATTTTAAATCTATAGGTATTTGTGAGTAGTTAATAAACAATTCACATTATGAACCCTTTTGATTCTCTTAACCTATACAGACCAAGAAATCTATGCATAACATATGGCGAATTGTGCACTTCTTGTAAAAAGCATAAAACTTTGGCAGTTGTTAGTTGATAAAATACTTTTCATTTAAGCCTGGGATCCGGGTTGTGTGAATCCAATATGGCCGCCAAAATCCGAGATGACCGCTAAAATTAAAATTTTCAGAATGATATGTTTTTTCAGCAGTATTCATTACCAGAACAGTATGAAATAGCACCGGTTTATTACAATACACATTTATTGTTTGTTCAAGCCTCTGCTCCAGGTTGTGCGGATCCACACTGTCTCAGATAGTTTAAACATTTTAAACGGATTAAAAAGGCGATAAAGAAATAAGAGAACACTTAAACCACTTAAACAAAAATGGGGGTCAACGGTCTCTTGTTTTTACATTTACCTCAGGTTATTTTCATTCTAAATTAAGCAAAGTATTATTTATAAAATACGAAAAAGAGTTGAACACCTCATAGATATAGCTTACATATGTAAGTAGGCATGAATTCACTTGTTCTTATACCGGTATTCCTTTCTTTCTGACAGATGCAGACAGAACCTCCCTTCTACCTTTAACACTCGTAAGAGGGGTTTGCAGTATCCAGAGATATCCGGAAAAAAACATATTCTTATGAAGGGCTTTGTCTGGATTTTCAACTAGTACAATAGAATATCAATATGAAGACATGGGAGAGCATCGTCTCATCCACCCCCCCCCAAAAAAAAAAAAAAAAAAAAAAAAACAAAAACAAACAAACAAACAAAAAAAAAAAAAAAAAAAAGTAGTAACAAAGTCAGTAGTGCAATCTTTGAGACGGAAAATCATATCAAATTTATCAAATGTAAAAAAATCTTAATTTAGTCTCATTTATTAAAATATTATGGATGACTAATGTTAATAATGTCAAATTATAGGCTTAGTCCTGATCATCTAAAAGTTAAAATATTACTTTAAGTTCCATTTGGTTCTGATATTCTAATGTATTTCACAAGACCTTGCCAGAATAAAAACACAATTTTTCCGATTATTATTCCTGTTATCAATGACACAGGATATACTGTTTAAATTACTGATAAAGAATAATTTGCAGCAGCAGTAAGACTGACACAAGGATGATTCATATTAATTTTTTTCTAAAAATTAAAAAAAAAACCGGATTCCAAAGAACCCCCAACCTCCTTTTACACTAATAATTCATCCCGAACATTTGATTCTGATGAGCAAAGAAATCGTGTGCACTTGAATAAACAAGACAATAGAGGATTAATGCACCCTTTTCGTGCATTCCCATCTGCAGAAGCATGATTACGCATTTGAAGCCTGCGTCCTAAGGATTTAAGTTCTGCAGATGTTAATGCACAAAAGCATATATAACAGTTATTCGTGTATAAAACTGTACTACTGTTCAGTGATTCAGCGATTCGTTACTTGTTTTCCATATAAAGAAACCGGTTTCGTTTTAATTACGCGAATGTTTGTTATATTTTGATA